TTAGCTTCCTAAGCAACTTTTGATTTTGATTTTGATCTCCTTAAGATAGTAAAATAATAAATATATGAGATAAAATGAATCAAAATTTTATATTTACAATAAATTCAATATCCTAAGCAACTTTTATATCACAAGCTAGATTAGAAGCCAGAGAGGGTATTAAATTGGGGTATAATTATTAAATTTTAATATAAAATTAATGAGATTTTTTTTTTGGTTAGTTCTCATAAAACGTGGTAGCAGTGTAGTATGAAGTAGGCTGTACAAGTAATTCGCAAATTGATATGACATTGTTTATCCACCCCACTTCCACAATGCCCAAAGATTCTCGCAAAGTTGATCTGACAAATTCCGGCATGTTTCGTGTAATTGCTGATATCTATCTGTAATCTTAAAGTGAACTTGAAGTAAGTAATTAGCACAATTTTTAATTGATTATGTCCAAAAACAAATCTCATTATCTCCTTAGTTTATGTCATTGTATTCGCATCTATATCAAGAAAATCATTATCATCGCCTCACGAGATTCCGTCCTGAAAAAGGAAAATCCATAATTAAATGTGTCCAATGTTCTTACCTTCATCACATAATTAGATATTAAAAATAATTAATAAGTGTATAAAATAATATTCATATAAAATTGACATCATCGCAGAAAAATTGGATTGTACTTATCACTAACATTTTTCTAATAAAATTAGTTGCATCTCTTGAAAGAAAAATTGATGAAACACTCTCTTTACAAAATTTATTGTTTTTTTTTTACCAGCTTTACAAAATTTATTGTTTGGAAATACTTAAAATTTCTTTAACAATTTAATTGCATGTAGTTAAAGAAGATATGATTTTACTGCAAATTAGTCGCATTTGCTCAAGAAACTGTGCCCTTAAGGATTTTTGGATAATAAATTTTGTCATGAAGAATTTTTTTAGCAATTTTTGCTAAACTACCCATAATGTATAACGGATGTATAGATTTTTATTTTTTATAATATTAATATGAATATAAATTTTTTGTTTTATTCAAAAGAAAAGTAATACTTATTATTTGAATGAAGTTATGTGTGCGTGTGCCTGTGTGTATTTATATATTTGATTTTGATGATTTGCTGTCTTTCCCCTTAAAAATAATCAAACCCCAGAATGCGCCCAGTGGCTCTTTCCAGATAAAAGGGAGCTTGCTTATCCAAAAAAAAAAAAAAAAGGGAGCTTTTACGAGTCGTTTAGTGTTTGTGAGCGTCTTACTTGATCTCCAAGCAAGAAATAGTACTGGGTCCTAACACGTCATCATCCCTCGGGGTTCTCGATCCCTTATGCAGCAACTTAATTTCCATTAATACCCCTGACCGCCTTTCCTTATTTACCAAACCATACCTAAAACCCCGTATCCTTTCTCCCGCACTCATTTATAAAACGCTCTTCCGCTGTTCCATTGCCTCCGGTTTTCCCATGTCTCTGTCTTCCCTCTTCTTCCGACGCTGATTTCTCCTTCAAAATGTTGAAGGGAAGCGCCGGCGTACCCTTCTCTGTCGTCTTCTCTGACGGTGAAAACACGGTCGACGTCGGCGAAGTCATGGTGGACTCCTCTATGAATTTCAAGAGTTTCCAGTCGGATCTCGCCCAAAAGATTGGAGTCTCTCCGCACCAGTTATCCGTTTTTCTCGGAAGCCCCGAGAGCAATCGGAAAATTCCTATAACACGCAAGGTCAATTTTGCCGCCATAACGCGCGAGAGAGGCGGATTCTTCTTCGTGAAGCGACGGCCCAGGAGGCATAAGACGCACAAAGAATCTCGAAATGAGGAACAAACGGGCAACAAGAAGACCCCTCCGGCGAATGTGAAGCTTCTGAAGCGAAACACAGGTATCGACTTCTTCCCGGCTCTACCTGGGTTCCAAACTCCAATTCTTGATCGTATCGAGTACGGAAATCGGGTGAGGAATTTACAGATTGAAAAGGAGCGGTATCTGATGAACATGGGACTCGGCGGTTTGTGCCTGGGGAAGGAATCGAATGGCGACGGCAACAGGAATGCGAAAGGCGCTGAATTAGTTTGCAAGGTATGTTCTGTCGGGAATGCATCGGGCCGCGATTTGGGTTTCCATTGGTGTGTGCACGACGCAGTCACAGAAGGGTTTAGGTCTCCGGCGGGTCCGATTGCCCGACCCGTGAAGAACTTCGGCTAGAGGGAGCGGCAGTGACGGATGCCCTGTGATTGGTAATAGGACAAAGGATAACAGGAGAAACGGAAACGTTAGTGATAGCATAGTTTTTGCGAGTGATTAATGAGGATTAGATGATAACAGATAAAGTTTATATATATATATACATACACACCTATACCATTAAGAGCTAGAAAATAGGTGATGGTGGCCTCTGATATGAGAAAGGGTGTATTGGCTTTTTGGATACATTGCGAGTTTACGAAAGTGAGAGACAGGGAGGCATATGGGCTGCTTTCCCATGGTGTTGTTATGTTGCATCTTAGAAACAAGATTAAGACTGCAACTTGAATGATGGGGACATTTGTAGGGCCTTTTCAGTTATGGCTTTTGGGAATTGCTTTGCGCCATGTTGGGTTGTTCCTCCTTTCTTTTTTAATTACAAGCATTGCTTTTGATCTTCTTTCATAATCTGTTTCTCCATTCTTCGTCTTTCTTGCGTACCACGATTCACACCTTAGTTGGGAACCTTTGCCCGCGGTCTCCCTTTTCTGATCGACTCTGTCATTATTCGCTCGCACTTTCGTATATAACCACCGTGCCTATTGTCATTGCTAGTTGTTGCTGTGAGCGTCTTTTCTTGTGCTCCTTTGTCTTTCACTTTCTGCGTGTCTTTTCTTTATTCGAAGTCTCTGTATTAATTATATAAAAAAAATTATGTACAGAGGGCTGGTTGTTGCCTTCATATAAGTTCGTTTAATTTTAGATTAGTGGAATTGTATTTGAAAAGAATGAAAAAATCTCTGCCTGATGCCCTTACCTTGATTATTTCGTGGGGTTTCGCTCTGGTTGTACGGTCTCTTTCTTGATTTTTAAGTTCCACCTTTACTTTGTGTGTATTATTGTATTAAGCCAAAATAGTAGATTTATATTAAGCCAAAATCAATAGTATTTTAATAAACGAGATTGGAATTAAAAACAGAAGTGAGTCTCGTTTTTAGAGATTTTGGGGGTATTGGGCATTTGATAAAAGTATTTTTAAAAAATATTTTTCGTAAATCGAGTTAAATTTTTTCACATACTTCATACATCGTAAAATTACTTATTTTAAATAATATTTTTAGTCAGATGGAAACAAACATATTTTTTATGACAAAATTTTCCTAAAGATTAAAAAAAGGAAGTTTCTAAATATCCAACTCATTTACAGCCCGCTGTAAAATCTCTTAAATAATATGATTTAAAAATATACAAATAGCTAATCTTCTCTTTGCCTCAGGAGCAAGGAAAAAAGAGAATATTTCACAAACAGGGCCCAACTCATTATCATTTTCGAAGAGCTGCGACTCTTCCGCCAACCAATCTCTCTCTCGCTTGCTTCGCTCACTTCTTTTGTCTTCGTTTGCTTTCGCTTAGCCTAAAATTAATGCTCTTCTGACGTTTAATATAGGATCTAATTATTAAATTAATTTTATTTTAAATATAAGATATTTTTATATTTATTAATTTTTTTAAATTACCCATATGGATATCTCTCAACTATAATCAAGTAGAAGAGGGAGAGGGGATATTAAGAAGATGATTATGGTGTTTTAAGAAAAACATATCATTTTTTTATAATTAACTAACTTATCTAAGTTTTTTAATCTAATCAAATTACTTAAATAGGTCTTATATTAAGGACCAGAAGAGTATAATATAATTAATTGTCATGCGCTTCTTGTTTCAATTTATTTCTCCAGATGCCATTATTAGAATTTAATGCTAAAATTTTCACATTCAAGTATTTTTACTGTATATTTAATATTTATGTCTATACATGCATGTGCATCGATTTATTACAAAAATGTTGTTTGTTGATATATAATTATAACTTCTTCACCTGCACAAAACACACATGTGATGATGACCCAAATAGTCATAAATGTATTTGGAAGAATAGGGTAGTATAATTGAAAATGTTAATGCGAAGTGGTCACTTACTCACTTACATTAACAACATGACGTCTCGTCGGCACTTACTATATAAGTGAATACTCTCATTAAGCATTAACAATACAATAATATCTTCTAACGGTATCTAATTTACAAACTATTAACATAGCCTAGTAATTGTCTTAAAATTAATTAGTTCTGATTCATTTTTGCGGGCATATTCTGTTGCGACTTACGTCATGTAGCATTTTCATGTTTGAAAGTCGCCTAGAGGAGAAAAAGGTGTTCCCATATCAGATATTATCGCATGAGCAACGTGCGTTGCGAATTGTTAGAGTATACATGAAATTAAAATTGCTTCCGCCTTATAGTTGAACTGATCGACACTAAGCACATTTCTTAGAGTTTTCTTAAATATGAGGTTACAAATTCAAACTTTCAATAGAGAGTATGATGAACGAGTGAATTACAGCGAATGGTAATATATATCAAGGTGAATATACATATAGCAATTATCAGTGTCCAGGATTTAAGCATTTTACTGAATCTCACTATATATAGAAACCGTTGAGTTTGGAGGGGTGAAGCTGCGAAAATTGCTGATGAAGTTTGCTGAATGCCAAGGTAACAACTAGTTATTCATTTTCATGTCAATTTAACTGCAATTCAAGCTCCATGTCCATACACTTTTCCTTCGTCGAATGTTATCAATCTGTGAGGTCTAGTTTTCCTCAAATTTTACAAAACTCTCCCAACCATCTATATAATTCTCATAACTTTTGAAACTGTACAATGAACCTCCCCGAAATTTTACAGTTATGTAGATAACTCAGATGCTATTAGTTTTGTTTATAACTTATTCGCAAACGGCTTAAAGTTTAAGAAATTTATCTACGTATAACTATAGATTTTGGGGATTATATACATGTAAACACAAAATTAAAGAGATTATAAAATTAACAGTTTGGGGTTATCTGTATGAACTTAGAAATTTAGAGAAGTTTATTATTACCGACGGGAATTGGCTCTAACAGTTAAGTTTGAAGGATAGATGTGCTTATAAGAAAACAGGGAGGTTTGTCATGAAGTTTTGAAGCTTGAGAAAGTTATTTGTATATGATTCTAAATTCAACAAAGTTTTATGTAATTTAGTCTAAAATGTAATTGGATGAGGATAGATATAGACAATCGGGTGGGAAAATATGAATTAATTGAATAATTAAATTAAAGTGGAGTTTTTATTGTGTAAAAGACACGCATCTAGAAAGATGGTATGAATTTGCAAGTCTTAATGGCAATGGATTTGGATTTTCAGTCTAATGATGTTTTGGTTATACTCCTTCGGTTTTAATATAAAACTTCTTTTATAGTGTAAATTATACTATGGGATTTTATATTTAAGACTGGAGGAGTATATATTTCTCTTGATATTATAAAGTCAACAGTTCAAATGTGAAAGTGAAAGAACTTTAGATTGTTTCCATAGGTAGGGGATCAAGTAGCCATACATCCTAGTTTAATTTGGAGAATGTTTCAAAATCCAAACTAAGAACTTATGACTATATGATATTGCGCTTCGTGGTGTTATTTTGAAGAGTTAATTATACTTTATACATATATCTCTTTAACATAGTAAGTTTCATCCTGAATGAAATGCAAGTTTATAGTTTAGGCACTTGTCCCCAGGAAAGTTTTGTCATAGAAATTTACTAATTTCTTTTTTAAAAAAAAAAAAACGGAGAGAGGATGAGATCTTATGGAAGGTGGAAGATAAATATATAGAATGAAAATGTAGAGAATAAAGAAATAAAAAGTGTTTCAGTCAAAAAGAAATAAAGATTAATTAATGCTGTGCATTTATTACACAAGTTAATATATGTTCATATTAGCTGACACGTTTTAAATACAATGACCACGGGCTTCTTTTTCTTTTATGCAATATATGATCTATTCATTTTTGTAAGTGAATAAAGGCTCCTCCTTTTAAGCGATTACCAAATATGTTCTCTCAGCCTCGTTTCTTGAACTCAGAACCCCATGGTGGTATCATGGTCCTCTTATCCTCACTATAAAGTCACTCCCCAGCTCACTTAATTTCTTCTACTTCAGTCTGATCACTCCCATTTCTCATCAGTGCTTTTGAAATGGCGGAATATGGGTATCCCTCTCATCCACTTTACCTTCCTTGGGGAATTGACCCCTCGCTCCTCGTCTCTCCCGATCCAATTTTCCCACCCTACCCACAGGTTCTTTCCCCGGCTTCGATATTTTTCGCATATCTCAGGCAGGTTTCAACTTACACCAGGCAGGTCTTGATTCTGTTGAATTGATTTTTATGGTCGCAGGATTTCGCAATACCAGCTGGGTATGGTTGGATTCCTGGTCCCATGACGCCCATTTTCCCACTTGAATTCGATCTAGCTTTTCTCTCTCCTTCTTATTGTCGTGCTTGTGCATGCTTCCTGCACCCATACGCTTACCATTATCCGCCACCTCCAGCTCCACCGCCTCAGGTGACCTACTTGGTCCCGTCCCTCTTAGCTCCGTCTCGATCTGAAACCAAGTTTTTATTTTCTCTGAACTTTGTTAATTAATTTAGTTTGATATATATGTGCACGTTCTATCGTCTGATCGATGTTTCTCTCGATGTAAATCGATGATGTATAATCATGTACCTATAGTTTTCTCAATCATACAGATAACCCAGATCAATTAAATGAAAACCAGGTATGGTTTCTTTAATTTCTTGCCGAGCTTATTTATTTCAAGAAGCGGCGAGAAGGAAAAAGCTGCAAATAATATGTAGTTCTCAAAGCTGTCAAATAGTGGATACAACGGTTACTTTGATAATTAAGAAGAATGGTTTATACGTACGTGTAGCATCAATTTTCTGAACCCATTTGGCTTCAATTAGTGATGAAACCCCCTTGTGGTTTGATCGATATTGGTAGCAGCCGTATGATGCAGTCCATCTGGGAATCCCATTACTTCCTGGTTTGCCGGTGGTGCCGGGGGTGCAGCCACCACACTACCTTCAGCCGCTTCAGCTAAATGTCAGTCAGACGGTTGCCGCAGGGACTGGGGTGTTTCATCCTCCTGTCATGAGAAACAACAACAATGCTTACAGAGGTGGAAGGAGAAGGGGTTAGTATTTCTGTGCTACGTACTGTTATAGAGTGACTCCTTCGGATAATTTATTGATCTCTCACAAAATCTGCATGGTGTGAAGGGCAAGAGGCTGGAAGATGGAGAGGGAACAGGCAGCGAAGAGAAGAAGAGGCCTCAAGAGACGCAAGAGTTCCCAGTCAGATCACAGGGGCGACATCCTCCCAGGAAAGACGTTGAGAATGATTTGGCTTCTGTAAGGATATTAGATCTGGCATCATCTCAAGTCCCCATGTCCAGATGTCCTATATATCGTCGTCCCTTCAAAGTGTCTAGACATTGAACAGGAACTTGGATTCGTCTTTGTTTCATGCTCAGTTAATGCAAGCTTGCGTCTTTACTGCACTAATTATAAGTTGCGTGTTCTAGTAATAGTTGTCGCTGTAGTTTGAGAATTTGAGGTTCTGGAGTATACATATGTATCTGAATATGCGTATATATTTAGTTTATTCGGGAAATTTAGCTGCTTACCTTTTCTTCACCTGTTCTTTTACTTCTCGTTTCTGCGCCTTCTGTTCGTATCTATACTGTATGACATATATGTATATATAACTACTTCTTTTAATTTCCATTTTGAAGAATATATTCTAAGATTTATCTTCAACATTAACTTATTCTTTCTCTGAAAAACATGAAATGATGAAACAAGTAACTCAGCCAGACTTCTCGATCCCAGTGTGTGTTGTTGTTGCAGTCTCTGTGTTTAATTACCATCATGTCTAA